TTAAAGTGTTGCTTAGCCAAATATTAGATTATAGTATAATTATACTTATAAATTCCCACGATTTAACTAAACTTCAAAGTTTCATATTTATTTTTTATGGCGACTCATGGTTAATTTATTTTCATATTTATTACTATATCATGTTTTAATGTTCATCTTAATATGTTTTAAATGTTTACCTTTAAAATGTGTAAGTAGAGCACGGATATTGTAGTAGTACAAAAAATAGAATAAAATATTACTGTAATTGTGCAAAATACAAAAAATTGCTTTAAAAAATAACAATGTTTTGTTATAAATGTATTTAATTATATAATTGTTAATAATTTTTTAGTATAATATATTATTTTTTAATTTATAGAATGACATTGTATACTTTTAATAAATGTTAAGTAAAAAATCATTTAAACTTATTTTCATCTTTCATTATTCTTCAACAATGTTTAAATTCTTCAACAAAAAACATTTTACATTGTATTTTAACTATCTAAATTACGACTATAAAGACTTAAAAATATTGAAATGGACTAAAAGTTTCAAATAATCATATTCACAAGTTCATCGATTTAGAGAATAAGAAAAAATAAAAATAAAATCAATAGTTCTAAATAGATTCAACAAAATTGCAATATAATTGAAAAAATCATGCTCTATACATATTATGTTATACAACTAATTTATTTTCCAATTTTTATAAATAATCTATTGGATTTAGATTAAATTATTACGTTGTCAGAAGAAAGGATGCCAAATATTTCAGTCCATCAGAAAATAAAATGAATTATTTACATATGTTGACCTAAAGGAAAAAAATGTCAAAGAAAATATGGTATAAAAACACATGGTGCCACCAACTTATTGGAATGGCAATTGATGAAAGAGTGGTGGCGTTCACTTAATGCATCCAAGAACCTTTTTGACCAGTTTTTTTAAGATATGGAAGAAAATTCTTTAATGTAATAATGCCCAGATGCCCAGACAACACCTACAATTTACAGATTGCGGGGTAGAAAATTGTAGATAACATACATCGCCAACAAATAATTGTGGTAGATACATTTTTCAT